TATTGCACAGCAGCTCTCGGTAGTTTTACTTGATTTTCAGGGCTCAGACAGAGAATAATTAATTTACAGAGGAATTGTGACACTCGGCAAGATCACATTTCTAAGCTTTGAAATGACACAGCTCGTAACATTCAACACTTCCAGTTCTGGCAAAGCCAAAGATGAGTTCTTGTATATGTGACTTGAAGAGGGGTAATTTTCATTTCTAAGAAACTGAAGCATCTCTTTATATACACTGTATATATTACCATATATGTGAGGTATAAGATATACAAAAATTTATTAAGGCCTATGTCTGAATGTTGTGCATTCTGAAAATTCAATAACCATTTTGAAGGGAGAATTGGAAAAAATTCACATTTCCTTTCAAAGAAACAGATTAAATAGGTAATAATAGGCAAAAGTCAGGTTTAAGATTGTCAAGGATGAATGTCAAATGCATTTTTCAAATGACTCTGCATATAATGGGTCACAGTTTCCACACAAATATGCTACAGATGTGTGTAGTTTCTTACCTATTAATTGCAAACACAGGAAAACAACCTGTTCTTGTTTTACAGTGCTTTCCTATATGCATATCAGGATGAGATAATCTTGTAAAGATAAGACTAAATCCAAGAAACTGAAATAACAAATGGTTTAACTTTTTGAGAGACAGGAGATTAAAATATTTGTCTTTTAGAATCTGAAGAGAGGGTGGATGTACAGCATAACATTTTAAAATATTTCCAAGAATGAAAGTACAGAAGTTTGGTATTTTCTGTTTTCCCTTTTGGATATTCACATTCTTATTTGAATTAACTTGCTCATAGAAATACAGCAGGATTGTTATACTTTTTAAATAACTCTTTACTGAATATGTCAACAAGATAATATATAGTGTATAGTGAGGTTTTGAAGTTAACAATGCGTGCAACATGGCAGATTGCAGAAAACAGATAATGCAGACTTCAAACCATCTATTTTTCCATGTTAAAGATAGAAAGTATACCAAACACAGAACAGAATCAAGTGTGCATGTCTCAGTTAAAATCAATTTTATGAAAGATCACCTTCAGATATTTGGGACCAAGTGATGATAACAATTTGTTTAGTAGTATCTGTTTCTGAGAGCATCAGAATTCAGCTCTCATGAGGCACATTTCCACAAAGCCCCAGTATAACAAAAGCTTGCCAAATCTCTTTTGTACTAGTTTTCCAGACGGACTACTAGCCAGTGTCCTTTTAAAGAGAAAGATGTTCTATGCTATGCAAAAGTTTAATGCCAAATGCTTCAATATTGCCTGTAGTATCATCTCGGATACAAAGTGCCCTGTTCAGTAGAGTTCAGGGAAGGAGTGATCATCAGCTTCCTAGGATTATCTCTGTGTTTAGAAGAGAGCATCAGGCAGGATTTGATGAGGCTCAGAGCCAGTAACTTTTGGTTTTGGCACTCGTTTCTGTTTTGTTTTTCCTCTGAGGAGCTGGAAAGATAAGTCATGAGTAAAATTGTTATTGTCATGTTCTAAAGAAAAAAACTTTAATATCTCCATGTTATAATTTAAGGTGAAAAAGTACTATAAATGGAGAATTCAATGGGAATTAACCACTTCACTGTCAAAAGCTGGGACTGAACTTTCACTTCAATGATATTAGTAAAGTGCCTTATGTTGACCTTTAAAAACATAACAACAATACAATATGCATAAAGATCTTTTGTTTGCAAAATTAAAATCAATATATTTTTCAGAAGGAGAAATTTATCACGAAAAGAGAAAAATATTGAGAGAAAAATATAGTTGAACTACTCTAGTAGCAAATAGCATAAGCTATTTCATTTTTCTGGTTTATGTAACATTCATTGAAGTCGTGTGCAGTTAGACGTGGCTTATACAATTGGCTTACAGGCAAAACTGCTAGTATCTTTTCAGTCCAAAGTAATCCAATCCCTACATATTCTTATGAAGAAATTCAACACTAATGTCTCCAATAAGAACCTGTTAACAGAAAGTCCATGTATTCATCAGGTGTTTGTTTCTGCCAGCAAGATACATGCAAGGAACACTTGTTACAGTGACAGTCTGTGAAAATGAGAACTTGTTTGTAAATACATATGTCTTCAGAAGGAACCCAAGCACTGGACACAGCAGTGTTGTGATACAGCTTTAACATAATTTCACTTAAAACTCTTACTTTATTCCACTCACCAATCTTTTTTGTACATTTATGTCAGCTATTAGCAATATACAATGGAAGATGGGTGAGATTTTGTCTGAAAATCACTCATTTGCCCCCAGGGACAATGTGCCTGTTCAAATCAAGACCTGGAAGTGAACATTTTGGATGAACTGTATATGCACACATTTAGGACTTCTGTTCTGTAGCCTTTAGTTAGTTTAGGTCAGGTATTTGAACTATGTGAAGATGACCCCCATTTTTATGAAGCCAAAGGAAAAGATATTAAACTTTACATGCCAAAATTGTCCATTTTTAACTGCAACTTTTTCCAAACATTTTACCTAGTGAAATTTGCTCATTATGTACTTATCTAGATATGTCCTGAAATGAAGTCTCAACTGTTTGTGTGACTGACACTTTGAAATGTCCCAAACTCTGTTGTAGGTTGAAATATATTAACTCTTTTGCAGCTGGATATCAATTAGAATTGGAAGAAACATTCTTCGAATTAAATCTATGACCTTTCGGTTGACTACAGCTGTGAATTTGTTTAGATAATACTCCCAGCTCTATCCACAGATACTTATTTAAGTGTCTTGCCACTTTTTTTTCAGAAGTGTATTTATAGAAAAGAAACTTTGTCAGTATCCCATACCAATATATATATTCTTGTTCATACCAAAAGGAAGCATAAACTATGCTATCTTCAACATCATTTTGATTTTTGATCTAGGTAAGCAAGTAATAGTCCACAGATAGACATATATGCATTTCATCATCTGAGATCAAACAGTCTGTGTATGCCTTCTGTTTTCACCCTATTAGGACAGTAACCATAATTGTTGTCATCAGTTTGGGCTTGTGGATCATTCACCGACAGAACGGCTGAACTCCCTGAATAAGTTATTTGCTGTAAGTAAGGTGCCTAGCTCATTTTGAAACTATGGTATCCTGAGGCCTAGATGTTCATCAAGGAGGACAAAGATTCCTCCAGCATCAGTCATTGAAGTACGATATTCTAGTAAGCATGTAATTTCAAAGGATGCCTTTTGAAATCAAACGTACAGCTAGTTATTTCAGTGAAATTAAAACCTACATCCACACCCAATGGGGATCTCTGGCTCTACTTAATTTCAAACAAACTCCAGCATGCAATGGAAGTGTGCAGAAGCACAACTATTTGCTGCTTGTCTTGTGAGCTTTGGCAGCTAAAACATATTAAACAAACAAAAGTATCAACCTTCTCATCAGTAAATAGGTCACAGAAAAAACCGCTTTGCATAGACGTTTCTACCTAGAATTACACCACCTGAAATCATATGTCAGCCTTTTATTCATAAAAATTTCAGTGACTTTACTGTTACAGTAGCCCCACAGGTTGCCTAATAGACCTGTTATAGCTGGAGAAAATAGCAAATATACAGAATGTAGAGTGGAATTTCAAAATGTTGGTATAAAAGGTGTTTGGAGGAGGAAGTGGTTCCTTATACAATGATTGTACTTTGCCATCAATCATAACTGGATTCATTTTGCCATTGCAGAAAATAAGCATTAGCATGCAAGTTGAATTTGAGAAATTTGCACGCTCATAGACTGCTGGGTTTCAAGAATGGGTTGAGTGAAATGAGCAAAGGAAAAGATTAAAGCCCTCTCTCCCAACATAAGCATCCTCACAAAGTGAACAGTCTAAGCATTCCACAGTGAAAGTGCTTCAGCCTTTACTTCCAATCCATTTCTAACAACTTCTCCTTGTCCCTAGTTGGTCACAGTAAAAAGTTTTCTCTTTGATTCCCTACTCCGTCAGGAAAGTTTAGACTCTTTCTTTTTTTCTCTTTGTTGTGAATTTTTGCTTGTCACCAATATCAGGAGAAAGTGACCCGCATTAAAAAACAAACTGAAAAAAAAATAAAAAGAAGAATTAAATTCCACCACTGAGTTGGCAAGAAATCCAGAGTTCTTGGCAGTCACAGAGTGAATGGCGTGCCTGGAACATTATATATCTTTGAGAGCAGCATCATGGTTTTTAATACCAGCATGGTGTTTCACATAGTGCATGTAATGCACAAGGACTCAGAAGGTATTCTAGCTAAAGAATTTACGGAATAAAAGAGAAAATTTTAAGCCCATCTACTGCTTATGAACCACAGATCATTGAGGAAAACCTCCAAAAGCTTAAAATAAAAGAAGGGAATTCAGAAGGACCACGTATACTCATATTCTCAAAATTCCTCAGCTAATCAAATGCTTAGTTAATGTTTGCCTCTGTATACTTGAGTGGGAGAAAAAAAAAAAAGCAACCACCAGGATTTATATACGATTTTCC